CCACCACCACCACCACCACCACCACCACCACCACCACCACCACCATCATAGTGGACGTCACCACCAACCTCATCACTACAAGTCCAACAAGAAGAACAACAAGGCCATTATTGTCCTCAGCACCCTGTTCTCACTGCCCCGTGCCTTTTGTTTGTTTTAAATTACCGAGTGTCCCCCTTTCCACACGATCAAATCGCACGCGATTCGCCAGGCATAATGTCAAACTCAGATCCGACTCCCCTCGGGCCGGACGCAAACCTGAAGTCATCCTCTCAGGCGATCAACCTAATCTCATGTGTGCGGGTTGATCAACAGATATCCAAAGTTTTGGGATTGTCCGTGGGGCGCTGGGTCTGGCCACCGGATGCGGGTGGCCGCCTCATCGGACGTTTGACCCTCCGTGATGAGATGACGCGTTAGCTCCACGCTGCATTCTGACCCCGCTGACTTCCCCACCCACCCAGCCACCCATCCACGCGCACACACACACAAGTATATACACGCGTGGACACATCACCCCCCTCCCCACTGGCCCACTGCAAGAGCTCTGGAAAAACATGATCTAGTTGTTTTCTTTTTTGACCCCCACCTGAGGGGACGCGCGCGGACGGGCCTGGACGGGTCAGGAGGCCACGTCGATACATCAGTCCCCGCATGAGACCTCAGGATTGGGGGGGGAGAGGGGTGGATTGTGCGGTTAGTACACAAACTGACGCGCTATAGGGGATGCCAGGTCCGGGAATCAAGGGCATTTACAGTCGATGTAACTTCTCCTTAAGCGAGCTGTGGCCCTACAATAACTTTAGGATGGATAGACAGACAGCCATCGCAAGGGACAGAATAATGTTAAATAATGCGACTCCGTAAAATGGATATTATGCTCATTTTATAATTACACAGGGAACTGTATGCCTCTGAGTCTGATCTGCAAACCCGTCAGCCGTCTGGTCCTACGTCTTTATTGATAAAGATGATGGTGCGGCTCGGAAGGAGTGTTTCAAACTAGTTTCACCGACAGCAGTTCTTATTAGTACTAAACATCCAATTTCCTAATCCCAATTATTCTGGTCCTTGGGACCAGAACTGTAACCCGTGGTCCGTTTACTGCGGATTTTTTGCAGCTAGTCTGAGTTGGTCTGTTTCACAGCACGGGGCAACAGGGTATTTCATGCTCAACTGTAAGGATACGGCGTCCAAGGATCGAGTTGCAGATAAGTACACCGAATCCCAGTTTAACTGCTTAGTATGAAAGGAAGGGAGGATTTAGTTTGCCTCATCTCTTCCGGTAACCGTCACACAGGGCGCGGATTAGAAAGATCCGGTTAATTCGCATGCAGGAACAGATCACAATGAATACCTGCTGCAGTATTATTCTTCAAGCAGCAACAAATAGTGAAAACCGTATATGCGTGTCGTCCACGCTATTCTGCATCGATCCCAACCTTACGGAGGTTCGAAGTGTATCATTCATCTTCCGTCTGTCGACCGAAAATATAAAATGATCTACTTAGTTTGCTTGCAATGACCGGACGCGGAAATATGAAC